GAATTGACCTATCATGATGAAATTTGGCACACGGACACATTAGTACTAACTGGATGTACCTACCAAAATTGATTTCAAAATTCCGAGAATTACGGAAGTTATAAGAAAAAACACGAATTGCGGGGGAGTGGGGGGGTGCATCGAAAAAAAACTCAAACTCGTACTTTCTCGGTCTTAGGAGAATATGGAAACCAAGTTTGGTTATTCTAGCTCTTATACTTTCTGAGATCCTTGCGTTCATACGGACAGACGGACAGACAGACGGACAGACGGACAGACGGACGGACGGACAAGGCTATATCGACTCGGCTTCTCATCCTGATCAAGAATATATATACTTTGTGGGGTCTGCCACGCCTCCTTCTGTGTGTTACATACATGCGCACAAAACTAGTATAGCCTTTCACCCTTTGGGTACAGGCTATAAAAATAATTCATTTGAAATTAAATTATTTTTAAAATTTAATGAATATCATTTTATGTAACCTTAATTTATAATTTCCTAATATATTCCTTTTAATATCAAATTTATTGAAAAGATAAAGAATCTTCTTGGGTAGTTTTTTTTTTTTTTTGTAACACAAATTTTGAGGATTATTTTGTTTGTATTTGTAAAAAGGTATATTTTATATCTGGTAGGACGTATTTTTGAAATTATGTTTGCAATTACTGTTTATCTATCACATATAAATTATAAATTCAATTAATAAATGATTATTTATTTTACGCTTCTATCAATGACCATCAATTTCCAAAAACTCAGTTTTCATTCTTAAAACTTTTTCAATTTTTTTTTTGTATTTTGAAATTTTGACAATACTATACAACAATAATATTTAACCTCTTTAATTTATTTCCATATATTTACAACGACTTCAATCGATTTTCAAACACAATATCCTAACATAAATATATTGAAATATAGTTCAACATTTTTTTGAATTGTTTTCATTCAGTTATTTCAAACAAAAATTGTTACAAAAACGTTGTAGAGAACTGCTACTTTACTTTTTATTTGTGTGGCATAATCGACCGTCTGTCAATGCGTTTACACTAAATTCCAATTAAATGTTGAGCGGCATGTTTTGGCTGTGATTTAAGTAGGCTACAAATATTTGTCTTGACTAACATGTATGTATGTATGTGGATGTATGTATGTATGCTTATATAATGGCAGACATATAGTATAGAAGGAGACAGACACGCAAGGAGCAGTCGTTAAGCCGCATAAGTAACGCGTACGAGTGCTAGGCACAAGAAACAATTGCAAATGGTTTTGCCCCTAAAATGGAAAGTGGCAACGACAACAAATCTCAAAACTTTATAAACAATTTGATGTTGAAAATGAAGCCACTTCCTGCCTGCATGCCTGCCTACCAAAGCTGTTGTGTTACAAAACAGTGCTGTTGCCATCAGAAGAGAGAACAAGGACAAAAAAATGCGGAAGAAAGGCAAAGGAAAAGCCATACAAAACAAACGACAAGGATACGAACTGCGACCGGATTTGCTGACTGGATTTAAAATGGAAATTATTTGAGAGCAAAACCAATTCACTTTATTACTTTGGGGCACATGCAAAGCAAAGCAAAGCACAACAACAACAACAGCAACAATAACAATGGCAGCGTCAACAACAATAAAAGCAGCAACAACAACAACAACAAGAACAGCAATAGTCGCGACCATAAAAATTAATGCAATAAAAACACATGCAAAGTAAGAGAAACAATGAAAAGGACATGCAAAACGCAAAGTAAGCGACGTAGACGCCAAGTTAACAATGTGAAGCGAGGAGGGGTGTGGTGGGGAGGGAGTGTCAGTGCCAAGCTGAAGGTGTATGTCTGAGGTTTTTGGTCTTTGGGTCTTTGGGTGTGAAGCATGCGCCCGCCATTTTTTTAATTTAAGTGCTTTTTGGAAGCTGCTGCCGTCGCGTCGACGCGTAAGTCTGAGTGTCGGCCGCGGTGGAGCGGCTGCTGCTGGTGGATCTGTTGGTGGTTTCGGCTCGCCGCTTAGCAGACAGCCCGGAGCATGGCATAAATAACATTAACATGATGCCTTAACCTGTAGACGGCAGCAATTAAAAGTACTTGGAATTGTTAACTCTGTATATACTTGTAGTATGTATATATGGCACATGGTACAGGTATAGGTATGATTGCTGGAGTGCTTGGTCTGGCTTCTTGTTGTTGCTGTTGAGGTGGCTGTGGTTGTTTTTTCAGCTTCAGCTTGATCGAGCTTTGATATGAAAACTTGAGAGCAATTAATTTGAAACCTGAAGTATGTGTAATACCTTGTTACACATTTAATTACATATAGTATTTCCCTTTTAATTGTATTGTGGCTGCGGAAATACATGTATCTCATTTGTGAGCATTATTAAAAAACAATAAATTGTGAGCAATTATATTCGAACATGAATTTAAATTGCTTTCAATGCTTGTTCTGATTGTCGGACTTTGTCGTACCGTTTCGCAGACCGAACAATTGGAAATTCTGTGAGCTATTGAAAATGAATTCTTTGTGTGTGATTTGGAAAAGTATCGCAATTTTTCACTAATTGATTTGTGACAAGAGAGAACGCTACAGTGGAGCAAGCCCGACAGTGTAATACCCTGTACCCAGGTAAACTTCCACCACTGAGTTAAATGCGCCCAAAAAGAGTAAAAAGAAGAGCGAACTTGTTGCTGCAGTTTGGAGGGTTGTACTGGCGAGAATTTGTTTCGCTAATAACTTTTCTTATTGATTGAATTGACCGAATTGAATAAAATTGTAAACAACAGTAGATAATTATATATAAATTATGTGTGCAAAGTTAAGGCAGCATTTGAAATGTGGACGTGATTGATGAAATTCTGTAGCGGGGGAAGCGGGGAAAAACTCCAAAAAATAAAATAAACTCGTCCTTTCTCGGATCTAGGAGAATCTGGATGCCAACTTTGGTTATTCTAGCTTTTATAGTTTCTGAGATCCTTGCGTTCATCCAGACGGACAGACGGACGGACAGATGGACGGACGGACATGTCTGGATCGATTTCTCTCGTCATGCTGATTCAGAATATATATACTTTATGGGATCGGAGATGCTTCCTTCTGCATGTTACATACTTTGCACAAACCCTTTTTACCCTACGGGTACAGGGTATAAAAATTGCATTTAATTATGTGAATTTATAAACTCTTTTTTAAATAATATTAATCATTTATTTTATTTTATTTTATTTTTGAATACCAATCTTCTATTTTATTTCTTCAATTTAATGCCTTTATTATTGTCACACGCATATTATTTATTTATTCAAATGTGTTAATGTTAATGTTAATGGCTCGTATGGTTCATATCAATAGATTTATAATTTCTATTTTTTATGCATTAAATATTTGTATTCTTGTATTCTGAAGTACGTTCTTCAAATCACATAATAAGGAAATATATCGAACTTCAATATACATATTTATAGAATATATATAGAATGCGTTTTTATGTTTGTAGTTCATAGTTCTTTTTTTCTGAGCATAACAGACCCACATTTTAGGCTGCGAGCATTTTAATTGTGGACTTGCACTTGCCTTCCAATCCATTAAATCCGCTTGCAGCCATCGCACAACATTCTTCAAGCTCGCACAATTATGGTGAGTGTGCGGCGATTTGTGTTATTTACACTTGAATCTTAAATTTTACAGTTGCTTAAGCGCACACTCACGATGCATTGCTTTCACTGCTGGAGGGTCACCCTCCGCTGGCACTCCGCCTGCCCCTCCCCGCACCCTCTCAATCAATGTGCCTACACCCATCGCTGTCCCAGCAAGCCAGCAAGCCAGCAAGCGAGCAAGCCAGCAAGCCCCAAACGACGCAGTGCATTGTTATATGATACAGGCGACCGCATTTGTTTGCTGCTGCATGTTGCTGCGGTTGACATTGGCCATGTTGGCGACACTAAAGCCAGCATATAGCCGCCGTGCCAGCAAGGACACGCATACATATACACGTATACGAGTACACAGAGGGAGACATAAATCAGGATTTGCCACAAATGTTTTTAAAAGGATTCTTCGCTTGCATGCTGTGGCGCACCAAAGCAAAAAAGCGAAGCCACAACATAAACAATAAGTTGCAGTGTCGCCTGCAATCGTTTGGGGTCGCTGGGGTTCGTTCCTGCGACTGCAATTTCTCTTCGCCCTCCTCTTCTTCTTAGTATTATTGCTGCTGCTGCGCTATTCCCACAGGTTCCACAACTAGCATTGAAACTACTTTAGTGCTCAACATCTACAAGCATACAAGCTGCTGACTTGCTGCATTACCACACAATGGCTCGTTAAAAAATTGTTATTTATCTGAGAGTCAATGATCGGATTGGCAAATCATTTAAATGGAAATTTCTCGAATTGACTTCGAATGTAACTTGAACATTGAAGTTCTATACAATAAATATTTGTCCGCTTTCTACAACATACGGCTTCTTTGGAATTGAGGTTATGTTGCGCACAATTGGTAATTATAATTGGCAAATGCCTGTTATTTGTGAAGTGAAAGAACAAGTTTTGTGTTAAAATATTTGTTAGCTTATGTCATTCAAGAAAATTCGTTTAATTCGCAATTCTAACGCAAATAAAGAGAACTGAATGTTCATATCGTTTTATGTTTAGTTAGTATTATTTTATCAATACGTATTTTAATAATTTTTGATATATATAAAAGTATAGGAATATCTTAAAATTGAACCATATAAATATTCCTTACGATATTTGTTTGTATTTATCATCTTCGTCCATTTGCTTTGTATGTGAAAATATTTCTTTACTCACCAAAATTCACATTTAACTTTAAACTATTTCATTCAAACATATACGATTCGCATAGGAACTGGTTCCAAAAGAAACAGTTTGCTAGCCTGGGGGGTAGCTACAGGCTGGCTGATGTCGCATGTAAGGATCGATGATAAAAATATGATGCGCACTTAAACAGAAACTATAGCATACTTTAGAGCGCTCTTTGAACTTACTTGTCAGGCAGCACAGAAGCGTCAAAAGGGTCAACATTTTGACGTTTGTGCCGACTTAGTGCTGCTCCTTGCCAGCGTCCTTTGTGGCACGCACCAATTGACCGTTAAGTGTTCTTTGCTTTGTCCTTTTCGTTTGTTTGTTTGTTTGTTTTCAATGTGTTTTCGCTTTCACTTTTTGTTCATCAATTGCGCTTCCGCACATTTGCTTTTACTTTTTATTATGTTTGTTCGTGTTTTGTTTTCTTTCGCGTTTGTTTTGGTATTGATTTGCACTTTGTTAGTGTTGCCTGTGAAGTTCATTCATTGGCTGCTCGCTCGTTTAACACTGCCGCAAACTGTAAGAGATTTTATTTGTATTATTTTGTATGGCCATTATTGTTGTTGTCGCTGCTGCTGTTGCTCATCTGTTGTTGTTGTTGTTGCCACACGAACACTGCTGCCCATGAATTAAACATTTTTCGCAATGACATTTAAAACACTTAATTCCAACTGCAGACAATTTAATCCTTTAACGCTCGCCCGTTTTCTCTTTTTCTCCCCCGTTTGTTAAGCTTTTTGTGTTGCCTCTGCTCTGCTGCTGTTTGCCCTGCTCATTTTTGCTGCTGTTGTTGCTGTTTTTTGCTGCCATTGCCATTGTTTTTTGCCTTTCACTTCTGCCATTTGGTAGGAATTGTTACTGTCATTCGTTTCCACCTCCGTCTTTTTGGTTTTTTGTATAGAAGGCCTGCAAAATTGATTTTTGCTGACGTTTTTTATTCGTGTTGAGTTATTTTGTATGCCTCGACCTTCATTTGATTAAAACTTGAGCTTTGTTTTACATATGCCCGCTATTTTTGTCAAGTTTATTTTTACACTCGCAATTAAAATAGCCTTGACAACACGCATTGGATAAACAGTTGAGGGAATGTGGAGGAGTATCATCGAAAATGTTATAAATATTGTACATCTGATACAAAAGTTTGCCCTTTCAATGTTTAAATACATGTAAATCACACCATTCATTTAACAATATTAATAAATGTTGCCTTGAATATTCTCGTTTAAGAAGTTTAAACCAAAAAAAAAAGTAGGGAGAAATTAAGGGGTCAGAGATGCTACCGTGAAAATAACTCAACTAACAGAAACAAACAAGTTTAAAACTATCGAACCTCAATTATTTTGAAACGCAGATAATCCTAATAAGAAATCTTAAATAAAGAATACAGATTTTAAAAAATATATATTGAATTTCATATATAACTAACGAATTTAAACTTAATTACCAATTGAAAAGGTAGTTGATTGTAAAAATATCTAAAATCCCCACTTTTTGTACCGTCTTAATTGAAATAATCTTGATGAAGAATTTGTAAATAGTTATAATGTTATAACATATATCATATAATTTTATATAAATCTTTCTGAATTCGATAATTTTCAGAAATTACTATATTTTTTTTATTAAATGGTACTCTATCCCTTCAATATATAAAATTATAAATTAAGAGGTTTTAAAACTCCCTCATATATTCGATATATATTCAATTGAAGTTGTTCGGCTGGATTTAAAAGCTTTTAATTGAACACCAAAAGTATTCTTAATTAAGAGGTTTTAAAACTCCCTCATACAATCAAATTTTTTAAAATTATCAACCTAACATTATTATTATATATATATAATTATATAAAAACGAATTATAAACTTATTTATATTTAACTAAATAGAACATCCGATTTTTGTCCAAATATTAATTTTTTTTTTAAGTTCTTCGAAACATTCAAGACGATGGTTCATCCACGTCTATAATTCATCGTCTATTTACCAAATTCAATCTATTCTATTCAATCTATCTACTATTTACCAATTCATATACATAGGTGCATTCTTTTGTGTTTAAGTTTTCTTTGCCTTACACAATATTAGAAGCCAATTCCAAATAACGACAAATACCAAAAAATGCAACCAAAAATCAATCTGAGAAAGCAGTCTTAGTACTGCGGTAGGTTCACAGATGAGAAAGGAAAAAGAAGATCTTGTGTGCCCCTAATTAATGTGCTTCTTACAGGGTTAAGATTAGCTTCACCTGCTCTTATGAAGGAGATCAGTTCTCTCGACTCGTTAGCTAATAAAATAGTTCCTCAAATTATATCCAATATTTGAAGAAGAATGTTCTTGCACCGCTGTCCATCACTAAATCGCTGGCAACCTCAATCATGTGCGTGTCAACGGCTGCGAAGGTGTGGGTAAGTGTGTTTGTGTGTGTGTGTGTGCGACGCAACCAAAACTCAGGCAGCGACAGCTGCACGTGTCACGCCCCCTCGAAAAGCCACACGTTACACACGACACATTCACATTCCAACACACACACACTCGTAAGCATGTCCCTCATTGTCTCTGTGTGTGTGTGTGAGTGCACATGTATTTTTGGGCTTTTCGCTTCGGCTGCCACTTTTTCTGTACTGCCAACTTCACTTTATGGCAGTCGACATCAATCAATTTAACATGCCGAAAAGTTGTTCGGGCAAAGTTCAGAGCCGCAGCCTATAATTTGTTTGCAAGTTGTTAGCGTTGTAAATTTTCCATCACGCAAGCGAAGCAAAATTATAGAAAGTGCCGTTGACAATGGCCACTTCAAAAATTTACCAGCAACATCTTTTGGGAGCGGTCGTGGTCGCGGACGAGGCCGTGGGCATAGTTTCCGCCTTTCGCGCACTTTGCGCTTTTCACGCGCGCTTTATTAGCGAACATGGGAAATTCATTAAAAGTTAATTAATTGCAAATTTAGAGCGTTAATTGTGCCGCAACTAATTACAACTAGAAGCGACATTGTAACCGGGATAGACAAACTGCTGTGCTGAGGTAGAAGCAGAAGGCTTAAACTCAAAGGTACAATGACTGACAGGCTGCCAGGCTGCCAGGCAGGAGCTTCGAGCCAGAAGCTGCTGCCCAGGATTGCAGCTTCAATCAACGGCAGAATCTACACGGGCCCCTCTATAGGGGCCACTTGTCACTGTTGCTTCCGTAAATGAATTAAAGACTGTCGGAGCAGCAGAGAACAGCAGGAGCTCGAGCAAAAACAACAACAACAGACAAGTATTGGCCAGCTTTGGATTTTAGCTTGCTGTTGGCAACGTCAGCGTTTGTCTGTTCCCTTCACTCAGTCCGTGTGTGTGTGTGTGTGAAGCTAAGCGCAAAGTGTTAACGCACTCAACTTCTTTCTATTATATACATATTGTTTGTGCGGATAAATACACCTCTGGTTAAGTGAATAAGGCCAGCTGACTTTGATTTACAAGCATTTTTGTGTATTGAGGACTTCAAGATAATACGACTCTTAAATTGTTTATAAATAACTGCAAACATAGAGTTGCAAACAATGACAGCAAATACATACTTAGTTTTTTTCTTGTAAACATATAAAAGGCTTCCAAATCAAAAAAATTTACTTAATAAAGAATTTTAAGGATTATAAAGAATACAAAAAAGTTTCCATTGTACATAAGCTTACGACATGACGTAATGCAAAAAATATAATATAATATATATAATATATAAAAAAAGCTATAAATATTAAATTGTTTTACATACTTAGCCAACCATTATTTCAATTAGGTGGATCTACTTATTAAACGTAGTTTTCAAAAATCTATAATACAGCTGTATTCAAGGCAACGAATCACTGTATTTAAATATTTAAATAAAGTTGATTGACTTAATAATATGTTGTTTGATAATTACCATCAAAACTTTTGGGCTTAAGTTAAGGATACACTTTGCGTAAGAATTGTAATTTAAATGTTAATTGCAAATAAGAAGCGTTTTGCTCCAAAAGTAGTTATAATTTCTTTAACTGTGTTCTTTTCTTGGCATAATCACAAAAATTATAAAAATAAATAAATTATCAAATTACAGCATATGTGTGAATGTAAATATTTATGTCTTCTATCTATTTCAAAACCTTTATTGAAATACTCAATACGATTGATATTTATAAAATCCCTTTCATATTCCCTATGTCGTACTCTTCATCATAGTCGGCAGACTGTTTCTTTCAATTCTTTCCCATTATACAGAAATATGCTTATAAATTCCATATTAATTAATTTGCCAATACATAACATTTTTTTACTGTCGATAATATCATTTAATAATAATAATAATTATATTTCTTGTTGGATAGATTTAATGTACTTGTCCAACATATAACCTGTTATTGTTTACTCTTAAACCTCTGGTAATAATTCCTTCCATTCTATTATTTATTAATATACTTTGAGTTTTTCTGCTAATTAAATAATAAAAAACCGATGCTAAATTTTTCGTCTTTTTCACAAAACAATTTATCAACAATAGTGTCGATTTACTTCCAACAAAAATTTGCTTTCTCTGTATGTGAGCTATGCTATTAGTTGGCTTTAAAGATATCAAAATTCCGTACTGAACCTATTCAATTGTCTGGCAGTGTGTTGGATAGAATGTGTTGTTCCATGTATGTATGTGTGTGTGTGTGTGTGTGTGTGTGTGTGTGTGAGTGCGGCGTGTTGGGTGTCGTAATTGTTGCCTAAGGCAGCTCAGAAAGCTCAAGTGTAACTGCTTTTGCTTCTGTAAGAGTGTACATGTGTGTGTGTGTGTATGTGTGTGTGTGTGTGTGTGTATGTGTGTGTGTTTGTAATTGTAAACGTCTGCACTTTGTTGCCTGCCTGAATTGTCATTGTGAGCAGCTCCCTGCAGTTGGCTTCCCCTCCATTATAATATCTGTGATTAGACAAAATGCCGGGCCACATTACGACGCAGTGTCCATGAATATTTCATTGATAGCAGACCCACAGACCCCCTCGACTGTGGGGCAGTTAGAGCATTGTTTAGTTTAGTTGTTTAGCCACATTGACTTCAATTCGGACACGATTTCTTATTGCATTTAGGCTAATCATTATGTTCGCCAATAAAATAAAACTCAATTGAAATTGTTCGGCTAAAGAGACATTGAATTAAAGGCCTTTAATTGAACAACCAATATGTTCCGACTGACCAAACTTTCAAAACTGTATTATCGTTGCTTAATTGGTAAGCACATACTCGCATTTATTATAATTATAATGAACAATGGCCATCCATTATTATTTTGAAGTACCTAGCTTTAATAAAATGAAATTAATAAATATGAAACAGCATTTATTAGTGCAGCTCCAACGCTATTATTCTAATTTTATAAGTATTTTCATGATATTCTACTTTCATTTTATTTAGTATAATTATGTTTATATAAACACGACTGCGCTACAATTGTTATGGCACTCGTGCGTTTCTTGTATTTAATTCTTAACAACCCTCTTCATAAGTTCCGAGAAATATACAACAAAAGCGTTGACTGGTTTCATCATTAGGCCTAAAAGTCTGCCTAATTATTGTGCTCTGTCTTACAACATAATAAGGGATATATAAATAAACAAGTGTGTATGGTTATGACCAAACAAGGGCGACGTGGAAAAACTCAATGAATATTGATTTTTGGAGGTGGGTGAAATTTATAAATAAATGAAGTTAGGATGAGAGCTAAAGTATAATGAGTTTGACAAATTCCGGTTTCTGAGAACAATTAGCACAAACTTTCTTAAGCACTTAATTCTATTTGCACAGACTTAAGCAGAAAGAATTATATAATTTCAGAAATTGATTTAATTGCTACCACGGATATTCATGTTGCAGGATTTAAGCATTGTAAGTAAAAGCTGCAACTAAATGGAAACATTACAAAAATGTTGCCGCTTTAAAAGCAAAAATACAAAATTTACATTTTTCTACGTCTTTTCCCATTTTAATCTGTCTAGAATAAAAATAAAAAGGAAAAAGATTTACCTCAAATTAGCTTCAGTTACGAAATTAATTTGTAATGCACTTATGTGCTTAAATTTCCATTTAATTGCTTTTGAATTATTATTTTAAGTCTGGCATAAAAGAAGGAACGCTCAAAATAACATATTTTAATATTCAAAGAAGTAAATAAAATCAAAATAGAAAAGATGTGGAATGTGGAAATTGCGTTCTTGACAGATCTCTGTAGTCTTGTAATTAGTTTCTCACAAGTTATTTGAACTGTTCAGAAATTAAATAAATATCTGCAGCTTCATAAATATATACTGCGTCAGTTGCTTTCAACTCTTTTCGTAAACGTCCATTTCAACACGTTCCTCCTACAAATAACATTATAGTGTTGAAGGATAGACTTCAGGGCCATTGCCAGTTTCTCGCACCACAACTAAGTAGCTAACAGGCAAGTGCGGAGACAGATATAACAATAAAAGGCTTGAGCTTCAGCTTGTGTCTTTCAGAAACTTTCACTGACACACTGACTGACTTACGGACTGACTGAGTGTCTGAATGAGTCAACTTAAACTCAAACATTGAGAGAGACTGGAAGATAGAAAGGCAAACGCGCATTTTCCTCAGATATTTTACAAAAAACAAAAACAGAATAAATGTGAAAATAAATAAAAATAAATGAAATGTATAAAAAACTTTCTGACGCTGCACAATAAACAGCAAACTTTGTTATGCTAGCAGACAAGTACATGTCCCACACAAGCAACAACAACAACAATAACAATAACAACAACAGCAGCAGCAGTAACATCGCAACAAGGGCAACAAACAACAACAACAACAACAATTGCAAATAGAAGTATGGCACTAAGCCGTGAGCATTGCACTGGCATGTGGATTTGTGGTGCAGCTCTTCGCGAAGGAGAGATGTGTAACAGAAACAAAAACAATATCAGATATACTTGTATGTACGTATGTATGTATACATATGTGTTAACAAAAACAGCAGCAACACTTTCATGTTTATCTTGCTGATTTACGCAACACGCATACGCCGTGTGTGCCGCCAGCAAAAGAAATGAGCTTAAGAAAATGTTGCAGAACCAGAACCAGAACCAGACCCAGAGCCAGACAACATCGTAAATTGTATATTTTAATATTTTATGTGTTTTCTATTAATTTTTGTCACTTGTTTTCAAGGCGTCGCTGCTCACCGAACAAATATTAAATTACAAACTGTGGCGGCAGACGAACGAGATTTGTGCACAAATTGTTCCGACGCCATATTCCATTTATTTTTCAATACTGCGCGTTGAGTGCGTGCCCAGAGATCAAAGCAGACGACTTAATATACTCTATAATTAAAGGGTATATTTAAATAAAGACCATGCATAAGACACACGTACAGAAGCAAGAACAGAAAATTATATTTATATCTATTCAGAGTTTCTAATAATTCAAAAAAAATAATAATAATAACTCTGAAAATATTTAGGTTATACTATATATATTTCAAGAACATTTGAATCCCACTGCTGATTTTCGAACTTTTACCAAGACATATGAAAACCAGCGTTGAATGTTCCCAAAACTCATAAAAGAGGACTTACATATTTGGGGTCTTTTATATTCTAGACTTTTACAGTTCATTTTGTCTTCTGTTAACTGTTGTTCGTTGCTTATATATGCTTGATTCTCTCAACTTTAATGGTCTATAGTATCTTATCTATATACATCTTATACCTAAATTCAATAAAAATTATAAAATAACGAATAACTTTAAATAACTTTATTTTCCATCTCTGAAAAATTAAGATATTCAGGAATGATAGATGACATTATAAATATCTATCGACCATGATTTAATTGAAACAATTATTAGTTAAGCAATATGTTTTTAAATGTTTAATTTAATTTTTTTTTTTTTGGCAATCAAGGGTATTTGCGTGTCTCATTCAGTCTTGTTAATTGTTCTTCCTTAGGTGTGCGTTCCAAAACTCTTGTTTTAATTTGTTAATTTATTTTTGTTTAATAAAGACGCTCGCTTTGTGTCATTTTTAGTTATTTTCAATATGTTTATATTTTTAGTTGGATGGATCGGCAAGTGTGGGTGGGAAAGGGAAGGGTGACACAAATATTGGAACGCGTATATCAGAAGCGTTTTGGGGCCTATAAATAAACAACTTAATTTGCTGGCTGCTAATGAGCAGCAGAGCAGAACAGCACAGAACAGAGGAGCAGAGCTCGCGAGCCTCAAAACGCTAATATTTGTGCCGAGGCGCGTTTCGAGTGGGCGTGGGCATGGGCGTTTGTGTAAAAAGTTGCTTTTGTTGTAGTTGTAATTGGTTTTTGGGGCCAGCTGACAAGTTTGCAAACACGCACTTAGCACGCGTCATTGTCGACATACGACGACTCGGGTTTTTATTGCCGTCAAACAAAACTGTGTGTATAATGTAGGAAGAATATAAATCGGCCAACACACACAACACTCTCGACACTGGTTCGATGTCATAAAAATTCGCGTGCTTGGCTCATTTTACTTAACTACCCAAAATGTACGAGCATAACGACGGGCGGCAGGCACACTTTCAATTTTGACTGCTTTGCCGGCAACGAGGCTTTTCCTGCATTTTCACACGTTGGCAAATTTACGAGTTAGCAACGCGCGCCACTTCACATCATCAGGAAATTTTTTGCTTTACTTTTGTTTTATTTCTTCTTACTGCTTACTTTGCTTTCCTTTTGCCTTCCTGCCACACTTCAACTTTGGTACTGAGTTACACACGCACACACACGCACACGCACATATCCGCACTCACGCACATTAGTATGCACGCGTCTCACAACATTATTGCCAGCAACAAATCGTCGGCGACTATTGGCGTCGCATTCGCAATCCAAATCGCAATCGCAATCGTTCTTGTTGCTCGTCTGATCCGCTCTATTCGTTCGGCTGCCTGCGTTCACCGTCGATGTCGCGCTGAAACTGAAACTGATTTCGTTCTAACGGGCCTTGCACTTGCCAGTCAGTCAGTTAGCCACGGCATCAACGCACAGCACAGCCTTCATTATCAGCACACACACACACACACACACACTTACGTTTGGTATTGAAGTCGACATCGGCTGGCTGCCTGGTTAGCTGCCCAAGTGTTGGTGCTCTGTCGTTCGCTATTTGCTTCTTCGTGTCTCGTGGACTCGTGCTGTGGAGCCGAACAGCTCCAACGAATTCGCCGCAACTCACCAAACTGCGACTCTCTTAAATACGTTTTGGCCCGCTCTTCAATTAATTATTATGTTTACAAGCAGCAACTAATACCAACGCATCTTTTATAAATATTTAAGAATGACAATTGCAATGCGTTTTAAATGCTTAACTCACAATGATTGTTATATGTATATTCCATATGTACTTATAAATGAACATTTTCTTTAAATAAAACTTGCAAATTGAATGTAAGTCTTTAGTATGAAGGGGTTTCTAATAGGCTCAAAACTATGTGAAATCCATTTAAATTAAATAAATGTCGAATAAATATTGATGCTTGCAAAAGAAAATATAATCAATATTAATTCTATTTTTGTGAACAAATTTTCTTGACTTTCTTCCAAAATGCCGCTTTTGAATAATGTAACACTTAATTTGTTTAAACAATCAATCTGCGAATACTGAATAGGCGATCAGAAGAATTTATAATTTTTTAAAATACATATCCGATATTGTGTGTTCAGGTCCGATAAATAAGTCGACTTCAGCAAAGCTTTTAACAGTGGTTCTTATTATTTCTCATACCCAATGAGAAAAGCAGAGTTTATAATAATATCGTTCAGCTTTCTTTTAATATTATTTTTTGTTATTATAGCAGATCTTCTCTTCTTTCTAAAACCATAGCTATCCCAAAAATGCAGCACCTTCACAAAAAGACTCAAAATAGGCGCTTGCATAATTATTAGAAGCAATAACATTTACACATACTTATTTAAGTTTTTAGTTTATCTTCAATTTTAAAGCCCAACATCTTTATGTAAAACAAGAAAACCCATTTAAACAAATTTAACAATGAATATTCTTGCAAAAAAAAACAGCTTTCGAATACTTTAACACTTAATTGCTTAAACAATCCATGATTTTAAATCGAATCGAAATCTATTCTACGAATACTGATTTCAGATATAATCATATCTTCAAACAAATACCTATTTGGTATTGTTTGTTCAGCCCTGATTAATAAGTCGACTTCTGCAAAGCTTTTTTAAAAGTATTTCTCATTACCTCTCATTGGATAAGCGAAGTTTTTAAGAATATCCTTCAGATTTCTTTTAACCTCCAAAACAGAATTCGAAGAAGAATTGTGTACTAATATTATTTTTATAGCCTGTACCCAAAGGGTGAAAGGCTATACTAGCTTTGTGCGCATGTATGTAACACACAGAAGGAGGCGTGGCAGACCCCACAAAGTATATATATTCTTGATCAGGATGAGAAGACGAGTCGATATAGCCATGTCCGTCTGTCCGTCTGTCCGTCTGTCCGTCTGACCGTCTGTCCGTCTGTCCGTCTGTCTGTATGAGCGCAAGGATCTCAGTAAGTACAAGAGCTAGGATAACCAAAATTGGTATCAAGGTTCCTATAAGCCCTAGGCAGAACGAGTTTGTTTATTTTTTCTGATACACCCCCCCACTCCCCCGCAATTCGTATTTTTTCTTATAACTTCCGTAATTCTCGGAATTTTGAAATCAATTTTGGTAGGTACATCCAGTTAGTACTAATGTGTCCGTGTGCCAAATGTCATCATGATAGGTCAATTCTGAAGAAAGTTATAGCCATAAGTAAAATCGCTGCTCATGCGCTGCCTCTGTCGGCAGCGCTGCCCGCAGCTGTTGTTGTTGTTGCTGCTTTGGTTTAACTTTGTGCTGCATACATACACGCATATAAACACGCATATAAACACGCATAGGTACGTGATGTAAATGTATGCTGTTTAAACTGAACATAAACATGTATTCTAATTTAATTTAATTAATTATTTTAATTAATTAATTCATTCATTTTTTTTAATAATTTAATTTTAAAAAAATTTTTTTTTTTTTAATTTTTTCCTTTTTGTGGAGAGTACAGGCTATTTTACTGTCGGGCTTGCTCGACTGTAGCGTTCTATCTTGTTTAGTTCTTTAACAGTTATTTTTTTATTTACCGAGCACCCAGCATTTCTTTCTAAAACCATAGCTTTCCCAAAATGCAGCTCCTTCACAAAAAGACTCAAACGTCCAGTTGCGCCAATTGAATCTTTTATTGATATCTGAACTAACTAACACATGCTTCATCTAATAAATATAATTCAACGTAACTGAAACGCATTTCAAAATCGGCAGGTAACGAAGCTGTACATATTTAAACTCTTAAAAAATAAACTTCGAAGTGTAATAGCTATAACCGATAGTCTAATAAATATTTAAATATTATTACAAAAGCTAAATCGCTTTCACACAGGTTCATGACTTGATTGAACCCCTTATGTTCTGTATAAATATCGATACAAATGGCACTTACAAGCAATTGTAACAACGTCTAGCTCATGAAATGGAACACCATGGATACTTAGCCATCATTTGCAGCTGTTGGGAACGACTTCATCACAAGTCGCCACAGTCAAGTCAATTTTAAACACGCGCCTCAAACACTGTTGCCCCTGCAACCCAAAAGTCAGACCCCAAATAGCCACAGACAATGCAGCAACAGAACTTTAGGTCAGTGCCGGATAGCGTCTTAAGAGCGACAATTTAAGAGAGCGCAGGCGCCGGTCTTAAGTAAGCCAATTCTCTTTGACGGCGAATTCGTTCGAAACGTGTGAGGAACGCAAGAACAACAAAGAAGCAGCCCAGCAAGATATTTCAATAAAATATACTGCGAGTTTGCATAGAAAAAAGCTAAAGCTAGGTACACACGATGCAAACAATTTTCAGCAAGTTGATTGCTGCAATCAAATTTGCACGTATAAACACGAGTGCAACCATTTTGCTGCAAACAAAGAACTTGCAAAAATTGTTTGCAGCAATATTTTTTGCTTGTCGTCTGTATACATTATTTTACCGTTATCTTGGTTGCGTCAGTTGCTTGCTTGCTTGCATGTGCTGTTTGCTTTCAGTCGCAATATTGCAGCAAGCAAAGCAACATGTGGGATCGCGAGGAAACGATAAAATTAATTGAATTTTACGAGAATTATTCTGTTTTATGGGATGTCTCGGCAGCAGAATATAACAAGATAGAACGCTACAGTCGAGCAAGCCCGACAGTAAAATAGCCTGTACTCTCCACAAAAAAGAAAAATTAAAAAAAAAAAATTAAAAAAAAAAATTAAATTATTAAAAAAAATTAATGAATTAATTAATTAAATTAAATTAGAATACATGTTTATGTTCAGTTTTAACAGCATACATTTACATCACGTACCTATGCGTGTTTATATGCGTGTATGTATGCAGCACAAAGTTGAACAAAAGCAGCAACAACAACAACAGCTGCGGGCAGCGCTGCCGACAGAGGCAGCGCATGAGCAGCGATTTTACTTATGGCTTTAACTTTCTTCAGAATTGACCTATCATGATGAAATTTGGCACACGGACACATTAGTACTAACTGGATGTACCTACCAAAATTGATTTCAAAATTCCGAGAATCACGGAAGTTATAAGAAAAAACACAAATTGCGGTGGAGTGGGGGGATGGGGGGGGGGGGGGGGGTGCATCGAAAAAAAAAACTCAAACTCGTACTTTCTCGGTCTTAGGAGAATATGGAAACCAAGTTTGGTTATTCTAGCTCTTATACTTTCTGAGATCCTTGCGTTCATATGGACAGACAGACGGACGGACGGACAATGCTATATCCACTCTGCATCTCATCATGATCAAGAATATATATACTTTATGGGGTCTGCCACGCCTCCTTCTGTGTGTTACATACATGCGCACAAAACTAGTATAGCCTTTCACCCTTTGGGTACGGGCTATAAAAAGAGCGGCCAGGGTACATCGGACAACTATACCAGCAGTTTTTCGATGCGCTTAAATTTATTAAAAATGACGACGGAAATAATTATAAAATTCAAAATTTGGTAAGTAGTACAATTTATTGCACATATTGTATTGAGCGGAGCAGGATTGGTGGGAGGATAATAATACGCGACAAAGTTTTGTGGATGAATGAACAACGTCGATAGCTCGACTGCTTTATTTATATATAAATTCTTATCCTAGTTCTTATGCTATCGCCTACATACTATCATCGATTCCTTATCTTCTACCATGTGTGCGTACTTTATCAGGTAGCTCATGTTAGCCAGCCGCAGCATGCTCATCCAGCGCGGTGGCGAGCCTGAGCTAATGATTTGTGTACTTACACATCCTTATCTATTAAGCTGGCGCCTGCCAGCTACGAAAATGTTGTTGTTATGTTCGGCATCTAAGGCCGAACTCATTATTATCTGTATAAGAGAGCATGTCTGTTTATCGAGGTTTTATCTATAGCAATATGATAATGTACCATTCGTGGTCTAGACAGAGCAAATCTAGCTTATCAATTAATTTACATTTACTTAGGATCTCGTTAGAATTGAACATGCTCCCCACCTTGAAAGGACTCCCTTTCAACTAGTATTGTTTCTTAAGTTTAATTTTAATTATACACGATTACATATATTTTCTTAGTTTTTAGGATAAACGTGGTAAGGCAAATGTTACGGGTAGAAATTGGGTAGAAAGTTGGCACATCTTTTTAAAGATGATAACGATCGCCACGATGAGACAAAATCCGACAATCCAGGAGGTGATGCTGATACCGTAAAGTGCCATTTGATGCGTATCGAGATGAATCGGGAAATCGAAGATTGTTTTGATCCTTGGGATATCGCGTACCTTATATGTTTTGATTTCACCCTCTACCTGCATA